AACAACCCAACGGTACGATATGAAGGTGCAAGGCTAGAGCAACGATGAGATCTTGGACGGCATTTATATTTCGGAGTCAATGAGGATGTCAAGGGCTCGGGCGCGTGGTGGCCGAGGCTGAGGAAGAAATTGCGCTACGGCGTGTATACAGCGGGTTTCTGGACGGTTAGGCTTGGTATGATTCAACACATAGGTGAAGTCTGAGGTGGTCCGGTCATTAAAGTGGGACAAGGTTTATCTGTACTTTACGGTAGTTAACCTGATCCGGCCCGACCCTACACGTGCTTAAGCTCCAATAGGAGTGCAACGGTAGCCATGTAACCTAGCACGTAAATGAACAAAACAAAACAAAACCTTATGCTTGAATTACAATAAGAATTAGATTTTTCAAATTCAAAGTTGTTTATTCAGAAGACACATGGCCTACTCGATAATAACCTTATTTTATAGATGAATCCACCTCAAACCCCACCTTCAACACCTCGAATCAAACAATTATCTAGAGATCAAAACATTTTAGTAATTAGAAAAATTAGATATGAACAAATATAAATTAAAAGAAAAATTAAGATTTATGGGCTTCATGAATCTGGCAAAAACTAGACGCAGATTGCCGCGCAACTAGGCATTTCTCGGGGACAATTTAGCTATTCACTGCGCCGCGGAACTATCTCTCCAAAAAGAGAAAAAGAACATCCTCAAGGCTGAAAGCAGATGATGTTGATCAGATTATATCTTACGTTGAGTCTTCACCTGGAAACCGCCGCAAAATATTTCTGGAACTCGCCTCTGGCCCCTTAAGACATCTTGGTGTTAGCGAGCGGGTAATACAAAGAGAACATTAAAAAAAAGGATATCAGCGACATGTGGCTCGTCTAAAGCCTCCAGTATCTCAGAAAACTATGAAGACAAGCAGAGAATGGGCCAAAGCTCATCTCAATTGGACATATGAAGACTGGACGTCAGTTTTATGGACAGACGAAACTTGGGTAGAGGATGGAAAACATTCTAGAGAATGGGTGACAAGAAGTGTTCGTACATTCCTCAATAAGAAGATGATAATTTGATGCTCTAACATTATGAGCTAGACTTTCCAAGAATACAACGCTGATTGTATTGGAGAAAAATCGAAGAATAGGGTCGGATGGATGTTCTGGGGTTGCTTCGCAGGGCCAGAAAAAGGCCCTTGTTTGTTTTGGGAGAAGAAATGGGGTTCCATTAACTCCCAAAAATATTGCGAGAAGATAGTTCCTCTTATCGATGGCATAGTTTCGATGAGACCTTGGCTTTCCGTAATGCAGGATAATGCTCCTGCCCACACAGCCGCAGTTACAATAGAAGATAAGAGCCAGAGGCTCATTCGATCGATTTTCTGGCCGGCCAACTCGCCTGATCTTAACCCAATTGAAGCTGTTTGGAATAAGATGAAGGATTACATCTTGCGTCATCATCCGAATCTAGGTTGCGGAAAGCAGCGAACTCAAGATAGTCTTCGCAACATTGTAAAGGAGGCATGGGATTCCGTGTCTTCCGAAGATCTTGTGAGACTTATTCAGAGTATGCCAGCGAGATGTCAGGCTGTGGTAGATGCGGATGGGGGACCGATCAGATATTAAGGCCTGAAAATATACCAGGCACATGTTCAGATCTAAGGTTAGGATAAGACTGGCTCTATTTTGTAATCTGAAAACCTTTGAACTCTTGTAAATCAGTTAAAAAGTCAAGTAGCAAAAATGCACAAATGTTATGCAGCCGATCATTATAAACATTAGGTTTAGTACGAAGGAAAGACCCACTGCAAACTATGGTGTCCAGATAAAAACTGCCATACAAAATTTTTCAAAATTTGCACAAATACGAGGGCTAACTCCAATCTGGAAGGTGACTATGCCTAAGGCGTCTTAGTTTACACGCTAAAAACCCTGCCAAAGCCCCATTGCAAACTTGACACCGTGGCACCACGGTATGTGTAAAGTATCTCACGCCAACCAAGATGACTCAGCATTACCAATCGTCCGAACTTGGATATAAAGGTAAATTAAGCGGAGCGGGTGGGGCTATGCGTTAACCCGTAGTGTGCCGTGCAGCTAGGTAGAGGCAAGAAGCGGTGTCAGAGGGAGTACGGTTCAATTCTGACATGATATGCAAATAGCCTAGGCAACAGACACTTAAGGAGCTACTACGAGCTGGACGTGCGTATGGCCTGGCCAAACGGAGAGAGCCCAGATCTTCGCTTACACAACGTCCATGACGTGTCCGGTCTTCAGATGGATAGTCATTACGCCCGAGCTGCAAGTTTTACCCCAGTTTTCGCCGTCTCCTATTGCAAGTTCCAGTAATATCCCAAACTTGAGTGCACATCCCTGATAGTCCTAGTGTCTGCACGTAACCGACTCTGACCCACTCAAGCAAATTTGTAACTATAAGCTTTTTTCATTTTGTTAAGATTTCAAAGCCTAGTCACGTTTGTAATTTCATAGGCTTATTTCCAGCCTTTTCATCGTGCGGTCCCCGCCGACCCCTTCTGGCCCACCTTGTTTCTAGAAGGTTCAAGGTCGCGGCATAGATACTCGGCTTACGTCGGAGGCTCAAATAGACGCGCTGAAAGATTTAGGAATAATAAAATGTCAATTTATTTACGTGAAGCTTTCTTAGCCTCTGACATAATTACTACCACTTTGAACACTAATAATGCAACAAGTGACAATGCCTATGGATATGAGTGGTTATGGTTGTCTTGAAAGTGGAAACATGCCATCTCAAGCTGAACGAACAACGAATAAAAGCGGTGTGGATAACAAAAGGTCCAGGCTAGGGTTTGTGCTGTCATTAAAATGTCACACCAGGACCCTAACTTGGCTAGGTCTTCAGATGACAAGCTATACACGATAGACATGGACGCAACTTCGTGCTGTGTGAACTCAGTGCTGGTGAACGAAAGCCAATAGTCGCATGAGGGTTCGACTTTGGGGAGAAATTTTATTTTTGAGACCTGGGAGCTTGATGGTTGATTAGTGGAATGATGGCTGAGTTTAGTGTCAAGGACGAAAGATTCCTGTTGTAAAAGAGAGCCGTGGCTCTCGTTCTTGCAACATTCAAACCACGACCGCAAATTTACAACTTGTCACAATAGCACTGGGTCACAAATATTCCGTCTATATTTATCTACAGCTTTATTGAGGTGTGCACGTTGACCTCACTGCATGTCATTGATAACCTGGTCGGTTTAATTGTGAACACTACTTATACTTAGCACACACACCCACTAATCAAATAGGGCAAGGCGCACCACTTCCACATACAATTTTAGGTGTCTTGTTACCGCCTTTCACATTTATTTGCCTTCATGAGACGGCACTGCAGACTACTCTAACCCCAGTACGCCCACACTGAGAATCTAGAAAGGTTGAACCATTATGATCTAAGCTGTGAGGTAAGACTGATGGGTCTATTCTCAGCCCATCTAATTATGGAGCTCCGTCTGACAAAAATGTTTTACCTTTACTAGGTCGGGCATTAGCACACTTCTAGTTATTTTAGTTGCTGCAGAGTCATTCCCACCCGTGTCATTAGCGTCATGGGCACCAAAGAGATGGAGCGTGGAGAAAGCATCGATAGGGCATCTGAGGACTTTAATCCAATCTACCACTCCCCTCTCGAGCCAACACTTTATCGGAGTATTATAGAGCCAAATCACACTCAGTTTGCAGTCTAGGCTAGTGCAATTGGAAGATACTAATGACCGCTGTGTTTGCTGGTTGGCACAACATCTGTCACAAGGCTTGCTACACCCAGCCTCGACTAGCGCTTAATAGGGTGTCTCTAAGTGCAGCCGAGTGATAGAGTTCTGCAATGCGCTATGGAATTGGCCTAGGGCACTAACAACATGGGTGTATGCAGGCTTTAGTGGAGACTACATACCAAGAGATGACGAGCAGGCATGCTACTCTCTCTACGAATTCTACACATACCTGACGAGTTCAGTCCACTTATCTTAAAATCGATATCTAGAGATTTTGGTTTAGTCTGATATCCAGAAATTTTAGTACCTATTTCCTGCTCCAAATCGAAAACAGTATACAGTTCCAGAGAGGCCCAACGGGCAATGTGGACTAGTTATGGTAGGCGAGTTGCCTCAACCCCATTTACAGAGGACTAATCCTCTGATTCATGAACCATAATACAATCCGAACAAATCCTTGGGCAGGCTGGGCAACGTTGTCGCTCCTCTGAATAAGATTGTCACATGGATTAAATTATATTCTATTCTTGGCTTGCTCAAGGCTGCCGCAGGACTCTGGTTACATGAGACACGGCGGATTTGCGGAGATAAGAAAACGAGAGAAAGAGCGCGGATATGTGGATGTAAGTATGCCTCAAGAAGAACGCGACAAATTGATCACTGAGCCGTGCTTCAAAAATAAAACGTACAAAAATAATTACAGCCTCCATTCGCAATGATTAGGCCCATTGTACCTTTAGTAAAGACATGTAGATCCTTCGAAAAAGTGCAGTAAATCTAGATAGTGATGAGAAACTACACAATTTAGTGTCCCCTTTAACTCTCCCAAAACTACATTCATCGATGCCTTAGCTGCTGTACATGTCGGTTGATGCGGAACATACCAATGAGTTCCTAGCAAAGCTACCATTGCAGCTACAACTACCTGTAATTTTCTGGGGCCAGGAATAGTCATATTCTCACACGACACAACAACCAACAACCAACTATCATCTATCAACTCAGCTTTCTCATACACTCTCAAACATCTCTCGAATCAATTCTTACTTACTCAAGATGTTTTACTATCCAATAAACCTATCTTAGGTTGCTAATCACTCATTAATTCCCCTTATCCTGACCTTGAATTCCGTCAAGCTGCAGCCATCATCATCCATCACGGTCACGTTGCTTAGTAGTAAAGCTTCTTTATCGTTGTATTATCAACTCTTTTGCTACACTCAATCTATTACTGGTCAGAAGCCGTCCACATTCCATCATGGCCACGGCAGGCTCAGCCAACCCTACTCCTGTCGAAAATAGTCGCTCGTACAATATTATTCATAACCAACCCCTTTCCATTAACACTCACTCACAGTCTACTCGGATCAAGGGTGCCGCTCTTTCCATTCCTCAACGCGCATCGTCAACCCAACAACAAACCCCTTCACGTCATGCGGCTACAGACGGGAGCTTGCCACCGGCAGCCCATGAGAACCCCAACATAGTGCACACGTCTAAGAGAAAACCGACAAAAGAGTCACTCAATCAACCTCAAATAGAAGTTATGCAAAAAAGTACCTCACGTCAGCATCATTCGACTAGACAAAGAAGACATCTACCCAGCATGACTACGACCGAAGCGGATGGTGCAGTCCCTATTCAGGACTCTAGATATAATGTTGCAAAAACAAGCAAGTCAAGAACCACTATTCCCGCAGCTTCAGGAAATTGGATTCTGGGGAAGACAATCGGCGCCGGAAGTATGGGAAAAGTCAAATTGGCCCGGCGGAATGAATGCGGAGAACAAGTAAGATCATCCCCTTAATGTATTTCTTGCCTGAAATCTTACACGATCAGGTTGCTGTCAAAATAGTTCCACGCGGGGCTACTGATGAAAGTCAAAATCAATCTAAAGCGGATCGTGAGCGGGCTGACCACTCTAAAGAAGTACGTACGGCTAGGGAGGCTGCCATTATGACTCTTCTTGATCATCCATATATCTGTGCAATGAAAGACGTTGTACGTACCACATACCATTGGTACATGCTATTCGAGTACGTCAATGGGGGACAAATGCTCGACTACATTATCTCTCATGGTAGATTGAAGGAAAAACAAGCCAGAAAATTCAGCCGACAGATCGCAAGCGCCTTGGATTACTGCCATCGAAATAGTATCGTGCATCGAGACTTGAAAATTGAAAATATTTTGATTAGCAAGACGGGTGACATCAAGATTATTGACTTTGGACTTAGTAATATGTTTAACCCAAGGAATCACTTGAAGACATTCTGTGGAAGCTTATACTTTGCCGCGCCAGAATTACTGCAGGCCAAACAATATACTGGTCCAGAAGTAGACATTTGGAGCTTTGGTATTGTATTATATGTGTTGGTCTGCGGAAAAGTTCCTTTTGATGACCAAAGCATGCCTGCATTACATGCAAAGATTAAGAAAGGAATAGTCGATTATCCAAGCTGGTTGTCGCCTGGTATGCTTCATCGCGTTGGTAATAATGGGATATCAACGAAAGCTAATTATTCATAGAATGCAAGAACTTAATTTCACGCATGCTCGTTACAGATCCACGACAGCGAGCATGTCTTCAGGAAATTATGAATCATACGTGGATAGTTAAGGGTTTTGGATCGGCACCTGAGAATTACCTTCCCGTACGCGAACCATTACAGTTGCCTCTTGACCCTCATGTCATTCAAGCTATGACAGGATTCGATTTTGGACCACCTGAAATTATACAGGCACGTCTAACAGAAGTTCTAGAGTCGCAAGAATACATAAGGGCTGTGCGAGTAGCCGCTCAAGAGCGTGAGGCCCAGGGACCAGCCAAGGACCAGGAAAAAAAGAGAGGATTCGGTTTTGATTTTTACAGACGAAACTACTCCAACAGTCGAGATACACTGACAGCGCCTAGTTCTGAAGGTATTTTACCTACTGGGAATGATCCAGTTAACGCATTCCATCCCCTTGTATCAGTATACCACCTCGTACGTGAAAAACAAGAACGAGAACGTCTTACATCAAATTTCAGTGCCAAAAAAATGCAACATGTCCCGGATATTACAACCCAGCAAGCCCTTGAGATTTCTGCACCAAAACTAGCTCACACCAATACAGCTTCATACGAGATGTCAGGTGAAAATCCAACCGGTGGTCGATCTCGTCCACGGGCCCGTACCCACGGCGAAGACGAGATCGCGGAGAAATTGAAAAATATTAAGTTTGTCGAGTCTCCTGGCCTAAACTCGATATCCACACCAGAGCCTTCACCTGGACATATTCGCAAAGAGAGTACCGCGTCCGTTATTTTGAGACGTTTCAGCACTAGAAGACGAAAAGAAAATCAGGATAGATCGCGTCCGCCACTTGTCACTATCCATCATCCAAATGAGTCAACTATTCAAAGAAAAAGTTTTAGTGTGCGTAGAACCAAGGACAGGGATGTTCACGGACTTCTATCGGCTAGATTTCCCACCAGAAGCAGTCAGCCACAGCATATTAGCTCTCCACACTCTCCTCAAGCCGGCAAACCTAGTAGTCGTAGCACAAATGACTTAGCAAGATCCTCAAGTATGAACTCGACGGACTTTCGCAGCAGAGATAGACGACGGTTTGCCGTGGAATCCAGTGCATGCCCCCGTGTTACATACAAGGAACCCCTACCTGTGAATAATTCTGAGAATTCCATCAGGGCTAAAGATGCTTCACGCGATACCATCCAACACAGTCCTCATTTGAACTCCAAAACAGCGTATAGAGCTAAGTCTTTGGGACATGCAAGGCGTGAGAGTATTCAAGCTAGACGCGCATGTAGAGAGGTTCGCGGAAATCATTTAAGAGAAGAGAATGATCCCGAAGCTGGCGACACGAGCGGTTTTTCGAATGAGAGAATTGATCATGCCGATAATCTGAAACCTGTATTCCTTAAGGGATTATTTAGTGTCTCTACGACCTCGACTAAGCCTGTCCACGTCATTCGTGCGGATATTATACGAGTGCTGAAACAACACAGTGTAAAATTTAGGGAAATTAGGGGTGGATTCAGCTGCCGTCACACTCCATCCATTGACCTCAAGAAAGTTTACGACTTGCCGCCGAGTACTCACAATAATCATACACCTGGACATCGGCGTAAGATAAGCTTTGGAGGGTTGATCGGAGTGAGTTCTGACCGAGATCGAGATGAATTCAGGGACTCGGAACGTGCACCTAGAACTTTTCGCACACCGACTAGGCATCGCAGAGGCGCTAGTTACACTAACTCTGATATATCGGACGAAAGCAGTAACAAAGATGATCCCGGAACGAACATGGGAGTGATTGGGGAAACCAGCACGCATGTGCAGAGTGAGCTAAGTGGAAGTATGATTCTAGAATTTGAAATCTTCATCGTCAAGGTTCCCTTGCTCTCTTTGCATGGTATCCAGTTCAAGAGACTAGCTGGAGGGACATGGCAGTACAAAAATATGGCCGATCAAATATTGCGCGAACTTCGACTTTAATTATCTATTTAATTCTGGCTTGACAACGCGTTAGATTCGAAACGTGAATCTTATCTCATTTGAGAATTCTAGCATGCGATCCTAGCATCAGAACACGTACGCTCTGGAGTTTTGGTTCTTAGTTCTTCATTGTTGATATTAGAATTGACACATTACTTCACAAAGGTTAATTTCGACACTTTAATACCCAGGAATGGTTTACTAACTTCAACTCAAAAGTGCATTAATACTTACCTATATTCCGGCGGAGTTTTCAGGTTGGAGAAATTAGATGGTATAATTGTATAGGTGCCCAAAAAATATCAGTCATGATAAACATAAGCTATTCAGGCTTACTGCCTGGTTTTTGAATTATCATCTACTTCAGCGTAAGGCGAAATTGAACGTTTAGGTCATCTCTAATTACAGGTCAGGGCCGCCAATTCTTTGGATGATGTGCCTTTTATCCGTCTCCAGTCCTTCAAAGGACTTATTTACTCAAGATATCTTGGAGTTTCACGTGAGCAGTCGCTTGAATTCCATTTCTATGGCCGCATTTGCTTTTCTCGCAACCTCTATGCATTACCCTATGGTGTGTCTCTACCACCCAACTCTTCACCAATCCCTTGGATAGACGACCCAGGCCGTATAAGCTAGTAAAAGTCTGCTGCATCATCCACCATCGACATTGGACCTGGGATGATCTAAATAATCTATAGATAGACAGTAGATCTAAGGATCGAAATAACTCTGATCTGTGGTGCAAGACTAAGAGTATCGTAGTAGAACATTCACGAATTGTGTGGCGATAAATGGGGTTCTTGGCGCGCATAGCAGATGTCTAAGCACGGCGCGCGTGCTTACCGTGATGTTCGCTTCACATGATGTATCATGGTTCCAACCTTCAGGACTATTCTACAGATGTTAGGATTAATACTTTACAAAAATTTGCCAAGTTATACTGGCATCAGCGATTTAAATACCCAGTGTAGCCTAGCCTAATTCCCATAAAAATTGATGGCTGTTCCACATGACTATATCAGACGGTAACGTGACTTGCGAGTTGTCTGAAAATACCAAGGTTATGCCTGGCTGCCTCTGCACACCAAGTAATTCAAAATATCACATAGCCCTGCGCAGGAAAAAGCCTTGTTGACAATTGCTCATATTTATTTCTAGGAATAGGACCATAGCTTCTATCGCATCCCTTGCGTTGTGGGTAAGAAGCCTAAATGTGGCTATCAAGCAGGTCGCGTTATCGATACGAATCTGATCGAAAGTTGCGTACTCAGTTTCACTTAAATGGTTACCTAGAATAAATACGCTCTACAATACCGTGACTTGGGAAGCGATATGTCAGTTTGAGTCGAGGTCTTAGTCTGCATCCTTCAACAATTAAAATTATAACTGGAGACTTATTCATAAAGGACTTCAAAAAGGGCGGCGGCGAGTCTTAACGACGAAGGCTAGAATCAACGGAGCTCACTGCATCGTTCAACGTTTACGACTCATTCCGTGCAGGCACTAGCCTAGAGAAGGCATCCTACGACACTATTGGGAGTAAGATGTGGATTTTATTATAGTCCCTTCCGAGTCTAAGACTATCAAGGACTTGAACTAGTGGTAGTATACACGTCCAACATAAACACTTGGATTATTATTACTATTAGTCTATTTATATTCTTTTTGAGTTTAAAACTATGTAGGACAAGCTATTTTAAAACATCTTTTACATCCTAATTCGGGGCTTCCCAATCATGATTCACCAGGGGCTACTTAGCAAATTTTAAGAGAAATAAAAATTCAATCAAGCCACACCATTTCAAATAATATCCCATCATATTTGTCACCAGTATCTTTGTCAATTTCTGTCATGCCGATTTTCTGACATATTGAATGAACATTTAGTGGCACCGCTAGTGCGGCGTCTACGATCATTCCCCTGTGACTTCTCTTCCGCACGCATGCCATCTTCAATTCTCGACCGATGGACCATGTCAGGATAATGAGCGGAAACAGAATAGCATGGCCTCATAGCTAGTTTATCCTGCAAACGCGCACTGATGGTTGTTGTGCGTGCGCTAGTTGGACGTTCGCGAGCCGTCGTCATAGCGTCGATTCGAACCCAAAATAAGGATCCTTGACACCGTGATGCGTCCATCGCTTGCCCGTGCGACAACGGCTCATCCTTCCGCCACCTTGCTCAGATGTCTCGAGAATAGCATCAGATCCAACCCATTGAATCCAGACGATCGACTTCATATGCTCACGCAACCAATGACTCATCAGGACAATTAAACCCCCCCCCCCCAAAAGTTGTCATCGAGCCTTGTATTTCAGCATACGATGAGTAGTAGCCATACTTTTTGTAAATCTTTCATCGTGACTCGGCTACCTTGCCATGCCGCAAAATCAATGACTGATACTTATAATGGATGATTTTTGACTCTAAACACTCGTATTGCAGATTTCATGTGCGGAAACTTCCGAGGTATGTTTGCTGATGCGAACATTCAATACTCGCGCGTGACTGCTCAGCAAGAGAAACTAGGCAATCTTGGTTCTCCCAGCATGCCTTCGAAGTCCTGTACACGGATACTCGGTGACATCTAGATGCGCCCTACTGATCTCGCACCGATCATCTCTAGACTCAGATCTCATGGGTGTCATGGCTATCTAAGCTCTATTTGCTACAACAGCCGCAACATCGCGTCACTGCACGATTCGATCATAAGCGTCTTTCCAGTATCGTTCTCACACTTGCCATCGACGGCTTGCCGCGCACAGCGCTCTTCAATGCGAAAAACACACTGCCTAAAATTGTAGATTATCTTTTCCAGAAGTGTGGCCATCCCATGAGTTATCTTTTCTATCTGTCTCACATCTCCCACCTTCTTCCTGAAGATATTTCCCGCACCATTTGGGAGCTGCGATTCTATCCTCTGTGAGGTATTGAGATTGTGAGGGGCGTGTATTTGGACGCCGGCTGGGGCCAGACGCTTGCGCGACGAGAGGTTTGGCCGTAGACTAATGATATACCTGGTTGCACTTAACGTGTGCTTTGGTTCGGGATCGGTCTAAATAGGAGAGATAGATTGGTGTGGTAGGGAGCTTTGAATCAGTTCTTCAAGGGTCAACTCCGGTATTGCCAGGCATGGCCAAGCTTGGATTTGAGAGAGTATCTCGCGCCCGGGCTCGAAGATGCCACCGCAATGAAGGCTTAAGTCTTCAAACCTCAGAAAGCCACGACAAAAAAAACTCAGTCTGATGGCGGAAATCACAAGCTTTCAAGGCTTGGAGTGCAGGGCAGACCAAATTTGCGATTTGAAATTTCGGCTTTGATGTTCATATATTTGGTCGTTGTGGAACTATTCCACAACTCTGCCATTGATCTCTATTTGTTTGGTTGCACTGTTTTATTTGAGTCTGACTATATCGGAAAATTTACACCTCTCTGGCCCAGGCCACACTTTGTACAGTGCTCCTGTCCTCTTTTGTCACGAAAATATCCTATTGAATAATGCCCATTTAACTTATTGATTACCCGTAGAATTTGTCTTTTGTTCTACGAAAACTTCTGCCTAAAGAAAAAAAAATGGTAGCGATGGAAACTGCGTGCGCGGGAAAAAGTCTCGAAAAACCTGCAGCCCCAGCCAGGCGAGGCCTAGACACCGGGACCACATGAGGTGCGCATATTCATCTATGTCTCCCTTCTTTGTAACATTCGAGGCCGACTTGATCCAATCCACCATCTCCGTATCGGGTGCTGGGTACGCTCCGCAAACTCATCTGATGGCTTTTTCTCCATGATCAAGGGTTGGTGATGAGTAGGGCTCTGACCCTGCCATCTGAGTTGATTGTGATTAGCTTCATGGTAATGGTGATGGAGGAATGTGTTGAGAGATGAAGACGATGCGGACTGCGAAAGCGACTGGGAATCCTCGTTGATGTGAGGACTTTGTTACTCAACCTCGGCTATATAGACTCTACAGTGAGAGCTGGAGGTTCAAAGGGGACATCACTGACACGTGTTGGCTCCATCCTTTCACGGATCCGTAATCAGAATTTTAATACTAATCTTAATTCGTGATAAGATGAAGGGGTAGTTAATTAAAACCATCAATTTAAGAATAGCTTCCCCTATACAATTAGTCATGTAAGGATAGACAAGAGAGTCATGAAGAGAAGGACAAGAACACAGCCATTAATGCGAAGATATTGGCAAGAATTGAGTACGATTAATTCCGGCTGGCAGATGCTTCTACTCTTGTATATAATAGTTCAGCGAGAGAGAGATTTGCTCCTCACGCAACGTCTTCTTGACTCACCCTTTACAACACATTTGTTCACCCAACTCTTCTTCGGGAAGAACAGCTATCCATTTTTCAGTTCTTCACCAGCAAGACCCACATGTAACATCTACCGCAACGATTTGCCCATTCCTCTTTTCCTAGGGAAGACCTATCACCACTTTGACCCAATTATAATCTTCACTTACCACCGAGAACCTTACTAGGCTATACAATGCACCCCGTGAAACAATGTCAAACCCTCATCCTTGAGACATCCTCAAACATTGCTTGCTTGCGCGGGCGCTAGAGCTCAAATATATCAATTGATGGTTTATTTGAACTCATTCAGTCTCAATCAGTCGTCTCTCGCTAACGCACCTACTTTGAGTGTGCTCGCAATTTCATATCTGTCTTTCTACTTTACGCGCGAGCCTTGTATTAGAGAGTAAAGAGTTTCTTGATTTAATGAGATTGCCCTGGGGGATACTTTTTCGTTCCTTTGGAATTCGATTCAGTGAAGAACGCTCGGTCATGAATAACTCGGGAGAAAATTCTACTAGCGCTCGAATGCATAATAGGCAGTGAGAAAATATAGTAGGATGATAAACAATTTGACATACTTCAAACATATTTATAAACATTTCTGTGCCGTTCGCTGCACTCTGCTTTTCAACTCTTTATCGAGGGTTGTGTTGGGATGTCAGAAAGGTCTTGATAGAGTGTGTTTGC